ATCCTAGGATGTCACTATGTTATCCTGGATATCACTATGTTATCCTGGGATATCACTATGTTATCCTGGGATGTCACTAGTTATCCTGGATGTCACTATGTTATCCTGGGATATCACTATGTTATCCTGGGATATCACTATGTTATCCTGGGATGTCACTATGTTATCCTGGGATGTCACTATGTTATCCTGGGATATCACTATGTTATCCTGGGATGTCACTATGTTATCCTGGGATGTCACTATGTTATCCTGGGATATCACTATGTTATCCTGGGATATCACTATGTTATCCTGGGATATCACTATGTTATCCTGGGATGTCACTATGTTATCCGGGATATCACTGTTATCCTGGATGTCACTATGTTATCCTGGGATGTCACTATGTTTATCCTGGATATCACTATGTTATCCTGGATATCACTATGTTATCCTGGGATATCACTATGTTATCCTGGGATTCACTATGTTATCCTGGGATGTCACTATGTTATCCTGGGATGTCCACTATGTTATCCTGGATATCACTATGTTATCCTGGATAATCACTATGTTATCCTGGGATATCACTATGTTATCCTGGGATGTCACTAGTTATCCTGGATGTCACTATGTTATCCTAGGATGTCACTATGTTATCCTGGATATCACTATGTTATCCTGGGATATCACTATGTTATCCTGGGATGTCACTATGTTATCCAAGGGATATCACTATGTTATCCTGGGATTCACTATGTTATCCTGGGATGTCACTATGTTATCCTGGAAGATGTCACTATGTTATCCTGGGATGTCACTATGTTACCTGGGATGTCACTATGTTATCCTGGGATATCACTATGTTATCCTGGGATATCACTAGTTATCCTGGGATTCACTATGTTATCCTGGATGTCACTATGTTATCCTGGATATCACTATGTTATCCTGGGATTCACTATGTTATCCTGGATGTCACTAGTTTCCTGGATCACTATGTTATCCTGGGATATCACTGTTATCCTGGGATATCACTATGTTATCCTGGGATGTCACTATGTTATCCTGGGATATCACTATGTTATCCTGGGATGTCACTATGTTATCCTGGGATGTCACTATGTTATCCTGGGATGTCACTATGTTATCCTGGGTCACGTTATCTGAATTACTATGTTATCCTGGGATATCACTATGTTATCCTGGGATGTCACTATGTTATCCTGGGATATCACTATGTTATCCCTGGGATGTCACATGTTATCCTTGGATGTCACTATGTTATCCTGGGATGTCACTATGTTATCCTGGGATATCACTATGTTATCCTGGGATATCACTATGTTATCCTGGGATATCACTATGTTATCCTGGGATGTCACTGTTATCCTAGGATGTCACTATGTTATCCTGGGATGTCACTATGTTATCCTGGGATGTCACTATGTTATCCTAGGATGTCACTATGTTATCCTGGGATGTCACTATGTTATCCTGGGATGTCACTTGTTATCCTGGGATACACTATGTTATCCTGGGATATCACTGGTTATCCTGGGATTCACATGTTATCCTGGATGTCACTATGTTATCCTGGATAGTCACTATGTTATCCTGGGATGTCACTATGTTATCCTGGGATTCACTATGTTATCCTGGGAATATCACTATGTTTTCCTGGGATGTCACTTATGTTATCCTGGGATGTCACTATGTTATCCTGGGATATCACTATGTTATCCTGGGATTCACTATGTTATCCTGGGATTCACTATGTTATCCTGGGATATCACTATGTTATCCTGGATATCACTATGTTATCCTGGGATTCACTGTTATCCTAGATATCACTATGTTATCCTGGGATGTCACTGTTATCCTGGGATGTCACTATGTTATCCTGGGATGTCACTATGTTATCCTGGATGACACTGTTATCTGGGATATCACTATGTTATCCTGGGATATCACTATGTTATCCTGGGATGTCACTGTTATCCTGATATCACTATGTTATCCTGGGATTCACTGTTATCCTGGGATTCACTATGTTATCCTGGGATATCACTATGTTATCCTGGGATATCACTATGTTATCCTGGGATATCACTATGTTATCCTGGGATGTCACTATGTTATCCTGGGATGTCACTGTTATCCTGGGATGTCACTATGTTATCCTGGGATATCACTATGTTATCCTGGGATATCACTGTTATCCTGGGATATCACTATGTTATCCTGGGATGTCACTATGTTATCCTAGGATGTCACTTGTTATCCTGGGATATCACTATGTATTCCTGGATTCACTGTTATCCTGGGATGTCACTGTTATCCTGGGATATCACTATGTTATCCTGGGATATCACTATGTTATCCTGGGATATCACTATGTTATCCTGGGATGTCACTATGTTATCCTGGGATGTCACTATGTTATCCTGGGATATCACTATGTTATCAAGGTGAGACTCCATTAAAAGAATAAGAGCTGTCTTCTACTTCCTCGGATCAAACCAGATTACTTCTTATATCCCAAGTGACGTACGACCCTCACATTACTACTTAATAATAATAATAATAATAATAATAATAATAATAATAATAATAATAATAATAATAAACATAATAATAGTGTATTTTAAGCCCCTGGTGTTCAAACAGCATCGCCTGAACGATGATTTACAACTTTTGATCATCACTGATGAAAAATAATGAGTTTCGACTCTAATTATTTTTTTTTTCATTTTGCTCCACGGAAATTTTGGAAACTGAGTTTTAATTCCAGGATGTTTTACGTCTGGTAGTTAAGGTTAAATGAGGCAAATTAGTCCGTCCTACGAGAAAAAGTGTGACCTCCTTCAAGATTCTTATGTATCGAGACTAATTGTTGTTGTGGTGGTGGTGATGGTGGTGATGGTGGTGGTTGTGGTGGTGGAGATGGTGGTGGCTGTGATGGTGGTGGTTGTGGTGGTGGTGATGGTTGTGGTTGTGGTGGTGGTGGTAATGGTGGTTGTGGTGTGTGATGGTGGTGAGGTGGTGGTTGTGGTGGCGGGGATGGTGGTGGCTGTGATGGTGATGGTGGTGGTTGTGGTGGTGGTGATGGTGGTTGTGGTGGTGGTGATGGTGGTGGTTGTGGTGGTGGGGATGGTGGTGGCTGTGATGGTGATGGTGGTGGTTGTGGGGTGATGGTTGTGGTGGTGGTGATGTGGTGGTTGTGGTGGTGGGATGGTGGTGTGGTGTGTGGGTGGTGTGTGGTTGTGGTGGTGGTGTGGTGTGGTGGTGGTGATGGTGGTGGGTGGTGGTGGTTGATGGTGTGTGGTGGTGGTGTGGTGATGATGGTGGTTGTGGTGGTGGTGATGGTGTGTTGTGGTGGTGGTGATGGTTGTGGTTGTGGTGTGGTGTGTGGTGGTGATGATGGTGGTTGTGGTGGTGGTGATGGTGGTTGTGGTGGTGGTGATGGTGTGTGGTTGTGGTGGTGGTGATATGGTGGTTGTGGTGGTGGTGTGATGGTGGTTGTGGTGGTGGTGATGGTGGTGGTTTGTGGTGGTGATGGTTGGTGGTTGGTGTGTGGTGTGGTGGTGGTTGTGGTGGTGGTGATGGTGGTGGTTGTGGTGTGTGGTGGTTGGGTGGTGGTGATGGTGTGGTGTGTTGTGGTGGTGGGGATGGTGGTTTGGTTGTGGTGATGGTGGTGGTTGTGGTGGTGTATGGTGGTGGTGATGGTGGTGGTTGGTGGTGGTGGTGGTGATGTAATGGTTGTGGTGGTGGGGGTGGTTGTGGTTGGTGGTGGTGTGGTGTGGTTGGTGGTGGTGGTTGTGGTGGTGGTGGTGGTGATGGTGGTGGTTGTGGTGATGGTGTGGCTGTGGTGGTGGTGGTGTAGTGGTGGTGGTGGTTGTGGTGGTGGTGATGGTTGTGTTGTGGTGGTGTGGTGATGGTGGTGGGGTTTGGTGGTTGTGGTGGTGGTGATGGTGGTGATGGTGGTGTGTGGTGGTTGGTGGTGGGGTGGTGGTGATGGGTGATGGTTTGTGGTGGTGGGGATGGTGGTGGCTGTGATGGTGATGGTGGTGGTGATGGTTGTGTGTGTGGTGGTGGTGATGGTTATGGTTGTGATGATGATGGTGGTTGTGGTGGTGGTGATGTTGTGGTGGTGGTTGTGGTGGTGGTTAGTCAGGTTTTCTTCTGAACGGCCTCCCACGGAGCGGCTCCCACAGTATGGCTTCTCAAGGGTATGGCAGCGGTCTCCTCTGAGCAGACTCCGCGCCGCGTCCGCCCGCCCGCGCCCTCCTGCGCGCCCTCGCGCCCGCCCGCCCGCCCACCCACCCGCCTGCGCCCACCTGCGCCTTCTGCAGAGTCTGCCGGATCGCCCCCGCTCCCCGAATTTTTTTCCCATTTTTTTCGATTTTTTTTAATTTCTTGTGGTCTCCAACTCCTTGGATCAAGAGCCTCCCCCACACCTCCTACCATCCACTTCTACCCTATATATTCTGCTCTACTTCCTTGGATCAAATTTTTCTCAATATCAATAATACAAAGATTTGAACTACCATCCATCCCCCCAAATATTTTCGAATTTTCTTGTATTCTCCAACTCCTTGGATCAAGTTTTTGAGGTTTCCCCACACCTCCCACCATCCACCCCCACCCAATTTTTTCGAAATTTTTTGAATTTCATTTTCTTGTTGTCTCCATCTCCTTGGATCAAGTTTTTTAGGTTCCTCCCTATGGGGGTTAAGCATTCAAAATGAACTCCCCCTATGGGGCATGGTACTTTCTCTTAATACAGGTCTAAATAAGTAACTTCCTCGCATGCATGACTTCACCCCACCTGTGTTTAATCAGCGGTCAGTGACGTCACGTGATGACCTCACACACAGACCAACAGGACTGATCAAGCTGGCTCACTCTGTGTTCCCTTAACTTAAAATGAAATAAAAACCTCTCATTAACTTAAAATGCAGGATAACACTAATACACAATATTTTCATTTATTTATTATACAACCAATACACTTTATTTCATATACATTTCTGGTAATACAACATGAGAATCATTCTATTCTGCTACGTTTAGATGGTGGAATATCAGGGTGTCCATAAGCCAAGGATTGATTAGTATCCAAATGATACCTTTTATCATCAAAGGCTGATATGCCTCTCTTGTTAATCCTTACTGTACATATTTCACCTTTTACGTTACTTATAGACTTGCACGTGAATAATTCCCTATCTACAGTTGTTAAAACATTCTTATATCTTGCATGAGTTAATAATGGCATAAAATGTAATGGGATACCATTGGCTCTGCTGACAGTAGTTGATCTTCCAGCAATCTTGACAGAATACATTTTAGCTTTCAGTGCTATCAACTCACTAATATGATTATCACACATTTCAGATTTCAATAACCCCAGCTCACCTTTTCTACTATCATCATATAAGGGATGATCAGGACTGAAATTTGAAAAATCCATATATCCTAACAAAGGTTCACTTTTTAACTCGGTGTACAAATCTTTACATTTTAAGCTAAAAATATAGGAGTCAGTATCGGTATAAAGAAGTCTTACATCATCACCATAATGTTGTTTTAAAACTTTATACCAAAAATGATACAATTTCTTTTTAGCTATCTCAAGAATTTGAAAACCGAGATAAAGTGGTTGTTTAACTTCTAATTTCTCTTTGTTGAATGTACAAATCACTCTGTCTTGATTCAAATGTGTGATATTTTTTAAGAAAGGATTTTTAGCCGCTCTAACAAATGCTTTCTCATTCTTGATATATCTATAATATTCAGCATACTTTGTAATATTCAACAATGATTTCCCAAATATGGCGTTATTAGTTAATTTGAAAGCTTTTGACTTGATAGGACATTGTGTGGCTGTTCTCTGTGCAATATTAGTTATGAAAGGTTCTAAAAATTTTGACTGAGTATATTCATATACTGCATGAACCTTTTCCACCTCTAACCCAAGTTCCAGTAATAATTGTAACAAATCTAGGCTGATCAAATAATTTTTCTGAGGTAAATGACTGGCCACTAATTTCGCATTAGATTTGGGGATCTTTCTAGCTTCATTTTTCAATATAGATTCGCAATAAGGAGATAACATCTCTTGTGATATATTCATGTGTGATAATATCAAAGGAAGTTCATCAGTGCGTCTAGCTACCTCAGGGGTGACGTACTTGGTATCACATTCTATCCAATAACCCTTTTGACCCTCACACGATACATTACTTAATCCCACATCGAGGAAAGCAATCTTCTCCTCATTCGATAATTTTCTGATACCATTCTGTGGAAGAGCTTCAACCATCGCACTAGCATACAAAGAATTAAAATATAGATATAAAATATGGGTGCCCATTCCACTCTCAACAACAAAATTGGGATTAATTAAGGGATTATCTGCTTTAGTATATTGATTAATTGCGCACGTAAACCCTCCTCTGAGATTCCTTTTAATCAAGTCATATAATTCATGGGAATATATCATATCTAATTTCACATTAGTTTTCAAGAGGAATGCATCCCAACTGAATGAAGGTAAACTTATATAATTACTAACATCTAGCTTATAAATATCTTTGAGTGTTTTACGCCACTCCATGAAGACATCGGCTAACAATCCAACATCTGTCTTGAGATATAACATCAAATAATCTCCTAAAGTCTTACATTTACCCAAGTCAAACACTTTCAATGCATGATCATAATCTTCCTGGCTAATAGCACTATTTCTCAAAGAATTAAAAAAATGTTCTTTACTCGGTAATTTTGTTTCATCGAGTTTCTTTAAACTATCAATATAATCATAACACAAAACTTGCTTTCCTTTACATAATAAAGGTAAGACATCTCGAGGCACATCTTTCAGAATAGCCTCTGTATATTTCAGTGATTTACCTGCCTTGATATGCTGATCTGCTAAAGTGGAAAGAGATCCATTCAATAAAGACAGAGAATCTTGAAATCTAACCTTACCTATGTCTACTTTCAAGAATCTGAGTCCTTGTTTCGAATGAAGTTCAATTTCATATTTATCAACCTGCAATTCCTTTAAAATTATTCCTAAATCATACGACATGTTATGGCAAAAAAGTAATAATTTCTCACTCTTATCTTTACACTGCAAATTGCAATGACCACAATAGGTGCCAATATAATTATTGAATTTTAAAGTGTGGTCATGATGTTTACGTTTGTCTTGGGCATTTTTGAAGGTGTTACCACATAATTCACAAGTGACCTGGGAATCATGTCTCATCTTATCCTCCTCTGTCATATGGATTACATGATACTCTCTTCTAAACTTTATCTTAGTCCATTCACCACTAACATTTAAAATGAAATGATTAACAGCATCCTCCCCCTTATAACTCTTCATACACACTATTTCTCCTGTGCGATCAAATATAATATAACAATAGGCAATGGCTTTATGACGAGACTCAATTTTACCTGCCGGGAGAGTGGTGTCTAATGCACATTCGAAATCAAACACACCGATATATTCGCTGGAATGTGTATGACTAAAATTTTTAAAGTGTACTGTTGTTCTTTCCGGGGGGAATACGAGAATCTGATTGACTTTACATCCATCTTCGTGGATATCTAACTCTTCCTGTGTATTCAACTTCATCAAACAACTACGACAGCGCTTCTTTACACCTTTTTCTGACATTATCGTTCTAACATACCCGTCAAAATCTTTGATTAAAACCAAATGACTTTCATTCAACAATAACGCACACATGATGTCCTTATATTTCTTATTCCCCTTACGACACATAGCCACAAATGTCCCACCTTGATCCTTTCTTAATTGATAAACATATAATGACACTTTATTTTCCTTCTCTAATATACCTAACTTATCACGTGTAATGGGAAAATCATCTATAGAAGATTTTGCATGATTAAGACATCCTTTCTTAGTATTAACTGCTTTGCGAATATTTTTCCATGACATGTTCTTTTTATGACATTGATAGGCAGCAAAAGCACGCAGTACACACAACCCGTCATTAATCTCTGGATTAAATACATATTGGCTCCCCCGCAGTTTCTTGGGATATGCCACATATAATCCTACTTGTACTCTGAATTCTACTTTGACATATTCGATACTGAAAGATTCGATTTGATCTATGATCCAAAGAGATCCTTCCTGATCTTGCAACTCTGTATCATATCTTTCTAATATCGTTCCCACCCATCGGTCAAATACTTCAGAGATTTCCTCTTCACTTACTAACTCAAACGCTAAATTTATCACAAATTGTCCATTTTGATCATCACCCAATATGTTTTGACGTAATGTCCTTATAACTATAATCGGGTGGATTCTGAGCGACATTGCTAGAGGTGATCTATCATACATATCTCGCATCTGATCTATAAAATAATCCCTATAAGCATGTAAATACATTCTTAACTCTCTGTTATAAGTTGAAGGAACACTATATTTCCTCACTGTGTGCCTACCTCTAAAATTCTGGATATATGTGATAATTTCTGGTCTCTCATCTGCATCATGTGAGGTAGTTGCTCTCTCATCTTCACCTCCACTGTTGTGTGCGACATTACTGACAGACACATCATGTGAGGTAGTTGCTCTCTCATCTTCACCTCCACTGTTGTGTGCGACATTACTGACAGACACATCATGTGAGGTAGTTGCTCTCTCATCTTCACCTACACTGTTGTGTGCGACATTACTGACAAACACGTCTTGTGAGGTAGTTGCTCTCTCATCCCCGGATGCACCTCCGCGCTGTGAGGTACCAACACTAGCAGAACTACCTGCACTCTCATCTTCAATCCCCCCCGCACCTCCAAGCTGTGCATCATTACTCTCAGTTTCATTCACAACACTAGAAGTACCAGGTGTATTTCCTGCAGAGGAAAAAGTATATCCAATTCATAACCCCAAAACAAATATTTTTACATATTACGAATTAAGATTTTAATGAAAAGAACAAAATCTTTCTCGAGTGACTAACACAATTTTACGATAAATATTTTTCTCAACAAAAGTAAAAGGCACTGATCACAATTTGGATACATACCTGTTTCTACAGCCTTCTTCCATAATACATCTATGCGATCCCACTCATTCTGTAATTCTAACAATCTCTCATCACGATGTACACCGCCTCTCTTGATTTCCAACGATCGTCGTCTTCTTATCGACAATCTCCTCTTCACTAATGCTTCCAAGTAATTCGCGTATATTCTTTTCTTATCCTCTGTTAAGAATTTCACTCATTAACACACTTTTCCAGTAAAAATTTCGCTCATATACTCCAACAACATGATTAACCCAAAACATTTTCCGTTATATCATTCAATTATTCCACTTGTTAAATAATATCTGTTTCACCACATATCAAGAGTTAAGATTTCTAAGTACAACTTACCTTTCTCCATGATGTGTGTGGATTCACCATTGGAAGATGAGGTCAGTCACGCTTGAGGGATGGAAACACAATTCTCGCTCTGAGAGACTCCTTGACCTTATATGGCTCACCCCAAATTATTGCGCCATGATTTTTGTACAACCCACCCCCTCCGGCGATAATCTCCTTACTGAACACCTGTGTCAACACAGGTCAGACAGACGAGCGCCATAAATGTTACTCACACCCAAGCTAGATTTAAGATAAACATCTCTTTCCAGACCAACTGTGTCCTCTTGTACTAAAATTTGGTGAGGTCACAGGGCAGACAGACGCCATGAAATGTCGATCACACCCAAGGTTGAAAATCACATACCCATTGCGTATCTGATAAAATCTCCTTACAACACACCTGAGTCAACACAAGTCAGAGTAAGAACACCTGTGTCAATCGGTACCATAAAGTAACTGATTCTGGTGAGGTAGTCCCGGTCGGCGATAGAGACCGCTCTGTGGAAGCCATACAGTGGAAGCCATACCGTGGAGAAGCCATACTGTGGGAGCCGCTCCGTACAGAAGAAAACCTGACTACTGTGGTGATAGTGGTGGTTGTGGTGGTGGTGGTCGTGGTGGTTGTGGTGGTGGTTATGGTGGTGGTTGTCGTGGTGGTGATGGTGGTGGTTGTGGTGATGGTGGTGGTTGTGGTGGTGGTGATGGTGGTGGTTGTGGTGATGGTGGTTGTGGTGGTGGTGATGATGGTGATTGTGGTGGTGGTTGTGGTGGCGGTTGTGGTGGTGGTTGTGGTGATGGTAGTGGTTGATGGTGATGGAGATGGTGGTGGTGATGATGGTGGTGGTGATGGTGTGGTGTGTAGTGGCGGTAGTTCGGTGGTAGTTATCACAAAATTCAATACTCGTCTATTATACTTCCCACCCATTATTCTCACCCATCATTCCAACCCATCATTCCAACCCATCATTCAATAGAGAGAAAGTTTCATGCGCGAGAACTGGGAGTAATGATGCGAGAAGATCTCACAATCAAAGATCACAACAATGTTAACATTGCTACAGTAATGAAAATAATAGACTGGATAACTACAACTTCCAAAACAAGAGATGTTGAGCCAGTGATGTTAAAGTCACTCGTTCTCTCCAGGCTGGAATACTGCTGTATACTAACAGCTCCTGCACAGATTGCCTAGCTGGAATACACACAGAAAACTTCCACTGCTCGTACACGTTCAGTCAGACATCTGAACTATTGGGAACCCTTGAAATATTATCGGTATTCCTTGGAACATAAGAGGGAAAGACACGTCACAATTTACACTTGGAAAATCCTGGGGGGATTGGTCCCAAACCTGAGAACTGAAATCACTGTATGACAAGAGACCTGGCAGACGGTACAAAGTATCTCCACTAAAATACAGGAGTGAAACCACTGTGCTCAAGAGAACTCGATGAGCGTCAGAGATCCCCGACTCTTCAACGCTCTCCCTCTGTGCATAAGTGAAACTGCCAATAAACTCTGGCTGTCTTCAAGAGGAAACTCGGTAAATTCCTCAAACCGTTTCCTGGCCAGCCGCTCTGTGGTTCGTACGTTGGACTGCGTGCGGCCAGCAGCAACAGCCTGAATGAAGAGGCTTTTATTCACCAGGAGACCTAGTTTGAGACAGGGCAGCAGGGGCGTTGACCAATGAAAACATCCTACAGGTATCCTTCAATCTGGATTTCTGAGATCCGTTATTGAAAACGTTCCGCCCACACAGTGAGCTATATCAAGCCACAAACAGATCTACCCGGGTAAAGTAAAGATATATATATATATATATATATATATATATATATATATTATTATATATATATATATATATATATATATATATATTATATATATATATATATATATATATATATATATATATATATATATATATATATATTATATATATATATAGTGTGGAGAGTCAAGCAGAGAGAATGTTGAGTAGGTTGTATTAGAGACGAACCTGCACGGGACCTGCACATTCGTCTCGTGTACTCTTTACCCAGGTAGACCTGTTTGTTAAGGCTCACTGTGTGGGCGAAACGTTGTCAACAAAGGATCACATTATACTGCGTCTGTGTTTATTTTTCCATCGTGACGGTAATTTATCACTTTTATCTGCACTGGGTTCCTGAAGCTGAGCTCACCGCCCACACACAAATCCCAGCACAGTTCCAACACCAATGGAATACAAGGTGTCGAAACTAGAAAAAAAAAGAATTGTATCCCCAGACATTAAAATATTTTACTGCAGCAGTAATAATTCTCACGTTGCTTTACCCACGAAGTCTATCTAACCCTCAGTAAACCTGCAGACTGATAGAATACAGGAGTTTACCATAGGGACACTACGATCAATTCGAAGCTCCCTGCATGTGGCAGGGTTTGATGAAATAACTTACCACAAGTATGGTCTGGTCATGGACAGGGCCGGGGGGGCGTTGACCCCCGAAAAACCGTCCAGGTATAATCCTGGTGTCCCGGGGTGTGGGAGACAGTGTGTAGTTTCGGCTAGGCGCCCGTACTTAGTCTGGTATCTGTGTGGCTAAAGTACAGCGTATTTTGATGCAGAGTGTGCAGGTTCGAATCCTGTTGTAGACTGAGAGATATTTGTATGTGTGTGTGCGTGGTGTGTGTGTGTGTGTGTGTGTGTGTGTGTGTGTGTGTGTGTGTGTGTGTGTGTGTGTGTGTGTGTGTGTGTGTGTGTGTGTGTGGTGTGTTTGTAATAAGATCACAGTAAACAGGTGTTATCACAATGTGCAGAACAACTGCTGTGAAAAAATAGTGAACTTCCAAGCGCTTTCGTGATTTCTCACATTATCAAAGAACTGTGATAATAAAAGCTCAACAGAGGTGTACTCTCGTGTGACTCTGGAAATGATCCAAGTCGGACCGAAACGTCGTCGTGAGGTTGTCTCTCCTCTGTACAGGTTATTTGAGTATTGTCCTAGTCAGGGTATTGTGCCTTTGTGTTATATACGAGAATACTGTCCAACTTGGTATTAAACTACTGGTATGGAATCGACATCTACCTATCTACAAGTGGATGAGGTACCAATACAAGTGTCAGCATACCAGTCCGGTGGATGAGGTACCAATACAAGTGTCAGCATACCAGTCCGGTGGATGAGGTACCAATACAAGTGTCAGCATACCAGTCCGGTGGATGACGTACCAATACAAGTGTCAGCATACCAGTCCGGTGGATGAGGTACCAATACAAGTGTCAGCATACCAGTCCGGTGGATGAGGTACCAATACAAGTGTCAGCATACCAGTCCGGTGGATGACGGTACCAATACAAGTGTCAGCATACCAGTCCGGTGGATGAGGTACCAATACAAGTGTCAGCATACCAGTCCGGTGGATGAGGTACCAATACAAGTGTCAGCATACCAGTCCGGTGGATGAGGTACCAATACAAGTGTCAGCATACCAGTCCGGTGGATGAGGTACCAATACAAGTGTCAGCATACCAGTCCGGTGGATGAGGTACCAATACAAGTGTCAGCATACCAGTCCGGTGGATGAGGTACCAATACAAGTGTCAGCATACCAGTCCGGTGGATGAGGTACCAATACAAGTGTCAGCATACCAGTCCGGCTTCTCTGTGACCATCAGTGAGAGGTAATTATGTCTCCCTTCCACCCACACTGTAATCCCACTCTTCTCCCACAATAATCCCTCTCTTTCCCCTCCCCCTCCCCTCGTCATCTTTCCAACCCCCTCCCTACCTCTCCTCCCCCACCTTCTTCCACTCACTACCTACCAGAACCCAATACTTTCTTCTTAACCTGTCTATCTCCCTGTTTTCCCTCTTTTTTCTCATTTCCTCCCTTCCTTACCGGCTTCCTCTTCCCCTCCTCCTCCCTCTCCTCTCCTTCCTCTCCTCCTCCATCCCTCCACCCTCCACCACGTCTCCTACACCTGATTTCATCCAATACGTTACAATAGATCGGCCGCAAAAAGAAGGATAAATGTGTCGAAGGACCAATATACGTATCATACATACATACATACATACATACATACATACATACATACATACATACATACATACATACATATATACATATATACATATATAATATATATATATATATATATATATATATATATATTATATATATATATATATATATATATATATATATATATATATTATATATATGGATGGTAGGGAGACTAGAACATACGTGTGTCGACCTAGGATGGTACACAGGTTATGTACCGTCAGAGCTTCACTCATTAACAACCCTCAGGTCGTTTCCGCCTCTCAAACATCAATGTCCCTAAACAAACAGACACACACACACAGCTGAGTTCGTGCAGAAATTGTTTACTGTATATTAATTACTCTAAAAAATGATGCCTAAGAGCATCTATTGTTTTCAATGTAAACAGAAGGTATTATCCCTTACTCTGTATGCTTTTTTTTTTATTAAGTTTCTTGTTCTGAACTCTGGTACAGCGGGTCTCATGTATATTGTTGTCTGCTGTAGCTTGTGAATATTGATAACTGTGTTATGAAACCCGCTGAATCTGTGTAGCGAACCTTCAAAAATATTCAGGGATCCGAGACAGATTAATATGTAGGTTGTAGAGGACGTCATGCAACTCCAACTCTGGTCAGTTTATGGTGACTATGAAAACATTCTTTGACTAGTTTTGGATCAACCATGGCGCTGGTAGAAGAAATCCCTGATGTAAACAATGTTTCGAAAGCAGCGAAACGAGTACGGTCACTCAGGATTAACTCATCACTGTTCTTTCTCAGCATCCTGCTGGGTACCAGACGCACTGTGTCATATATGTTCTTTCTCAGCATCCTGCTGAGTACCAGACACGCTATGTCATACATGTTCTTTCTCAGCATCCTGCTGGGTACCAGACGCACTGTGTCATATATGTTCTTTCTCAGCATCCTGCTGAGTACCAGACACGCTATGTCATACATGTTCTTTCTCAGCATCCTGCTGGGTACCAGACACATTGTGTCATATATGTTCTTTCTCAGCATCCTGCTGGGTACCAGACACACTGTCATATATGTTCTTTCTCAGCATCTTGCTGGGTACCAGACGCACTGTGTCATATATGTTCTTTCTCAGCATCTTGCTGGGTACCAGACGCACTGTGTCATATATGTTCTTTCTCAGCATCCTGCTGGGTTCCAGACACACTGTGTCATATACGACTATCATGATGGATAAAGAACAGAAAGACACAATACCGTGACTGGAACAATAAAGTGTGACCTGTCAATGGTCCAAGTCGGACCGAAACGTCCTCATAAGCTTCCCACTCCTATGTGCGGGTTATTTGTGTGTATTGGATACTTCAAGAACGACACAGTGTCAAGAAACAATAAGGAGTGCATTACACGTCATCA